TGTTGACCGGTCATTATAGGAGCTCTTCAGTCTGATGAAATCTACAGTCATAGGAATGGATCCATCATTATTTCTGTTCCGTGCTTTGATATAATCCAGCAGGTCAGCAAAGAATTTAAAGCCCCCCCCTTGAGCACACAGAGGGCTACGATGTGATGGCCACCCATCTCCTTCAACATGTCTTGGGCAAGACGCTCAGTCCTGTCCATAACTAGTCCATGAGAAATAAACACCTTTCCCAAACCCTCAGCGTAATGATGAGGTATACAAAATAAATCTAGGTCATAACCTGGTTCATCATCACTAATCACGACGCTGGGGCTGTGGGTTGCCATAACAGAGCCAATGGGCACACGTGCTGAGGGCAGCCAGAGGAGGAGCAAAAAGTTCATCTTTTGAGAGAGAACTCGTGCATAGGGGAGGGGCAAAGAGAGAGCTCTGCAGGCTTTACACTATCAGCAAGGAGACTGATGCGGGGCTCAAACTCGTGAAACCTGAGATCATGACCTGAACCTAAACCAAGAGTTGTACGGTTAACCGGCTAACCCACCCTGGTGCCCCACACCCTTTTGTTTTTAAAAGTCAAATTGTTAGTTAATACTACAAATCTCTTCCTGTCTTCTGGGGACTGCAGAATGGTTTGCTGGGTGCAGTGTTGATTTGGGAATGGTCATTAATCTGGAACCACTATAGAGTTGTTCCGTGTTTCTTTTTCATCATTGTTTTAGTTATAGTATTTCTAACTTTCTCAGATGTTACATCTCTGCTCAGCAACTTTCAGGAATGAAGCAGTGGTCAAAGGTTATTAGTACTAGCATATAGAACTTATAATTCCTTCTCAGTGCTTTTTCCTTCATATCACTCTACCTTACTCTTTTTAATTTTAATTTCAGTATAGTTAACATACAGTGTTACATTAATTTTATTTATTTACTTTATTTATTTTAACGTTTATTCATTATTGAGAGAGCAGAGCATGAGCATGGGAGGGGTAGAGAGAGGAGACACAGAATCTGAAGCAGGCTTCAGGCTCCGAGTTGTCAGCACAGAGCCTGATGTGGGGCTTGAACTCAAAAACCGTGAGATCTGAGCCGAGGTCAGACACAACCGACTGAGCCACCCAGGTGCCCCAAAGTGTTACATTAATTTTAGGTGTACGTTGTAGTGCTCTACCTTCCCCTTTTGTGAGTTGCCTCAACAAGGTTACATTTCTGCTAACTCACTATAGGTTGAACTTAAGAGGAAGGTGATGATTAGAATGTATTGTACAGTCGTCAGTGCTTAGCTATGAAAAGTATGAGTGTTCCACAGAGGCCTGTTACCTCTATTCAGAGGTGGCCAAGAAACTAAGGTCCATCAAGTCCAGCCAACGGGAAAGCAGGACAGAATGACTAATTTATGTTTGATGTGTGGACATGATTGTAACTGGGCATTACCATTGACAGGCATCCAAACCATAGTAAACAAAATACTAGCTATCATGCAGAGAAGAGATAGGGAGTTGCTAGGTTAGAGTACATATTCATCACTGGCATTTTGTCCAGATACTAGATGAACAGGACTGTTGGCATCTAAATTTATTAGCTCTCCCCACCTCTACTCACAAGAATTTTCTGTTTTCTGTTAGTGCATAGAAATGATACGGTTTTTTCATTTCCTTCTGTATAGTTCCTGTAATTCTGTCATCTTTGACTTCTGTGACGATGCTGGGTAAAGATGCCAAATGGTTTTTGTACCTCCTATTTCTGCCAGTCAACAGGATGTTTATAGTATTTACTGTGGGGCATACACCAAGACAAATAGCTTTTAGCATCAAACCATCATTTGTTATATCAGACTGCATGACGTTGGCTCCTGGCATTTGTTTGTATCATATGAGGGATACTTAGCTTTTTATATAGAAATTGTCCTTTTCATACTTAATAGTTATTGTTCGTTAATTAAAACTTTAAAATCTCTTCCTCTCCGAAATGTCAGTGTCTTACAACTTTTAGGGAAAATTATGAGTACTGTTCTTAACAAGTATCTCATACTGTCTTCTAATCTTTGTGACTTTTCTAGTAGTATTTCTCAGTGTGGGTTCTATGCACTGCCTATAGCAGTATACTCTAAAGCCCTTGCTAAGATTGCAGCCTCCAAGGTCTTGTTCTTTCTTAATCAGAATATCCAGGAATGAAGACCAAGGATCTTCATTTTAAGTAATCGTGTTGTTCCTGTCATCCTTAGGCACATTTAAGTTTGGGTGATCCTTCCCGTAGAAATTTTCTAGCGTGGTCTGTGGACCTGGCAGCGAGCTAGAAATGTAGAATCTCAGGCCCCACTCTAGATCTGCTGAATCAGTCTACATTTTAACAAATTTCTGTGTGACAAATTTGAATACTGACTTACCACTTCTTACAAGTAGTAAATTCTCATTAATCACTCCTTGCCTATTGGCTCGTTGATCTGCTTCTCAGATAGGTACTTAAAACACCCGCAAACTTTTAACATCTCAAATTTAGGGAGTGTCTCAGGAGAATTACTCTCAATATTTTCAATAAAGGATCATAGTAAAACTTCATTGTGTCACTAGTTTAAGCACAGCTTGAGTGATTTCCTCCTAAATAAATGCAGGAGTACCTCATAAAATATAATTGCAAATCTGTTTCTCAGACAAAAGGGTCTGATTCTTCTCTGCCTGTGTGAAATTCACTCTGGGTCTGGCTCAAAGACCTCTGCTCCAAGATCAAGCAATGCCTTCGCAACAGGCCCTATGGCATTTGGCAGTGAGAAGCTTTCAGGGGCCACAACCTCATCTCAGTTGGGAGTAAGTACAATTGAATGTCGTTTGTATGTTCTTTTAAAACTAGAAAACCTTCCTGTGGATTTGGTGATGTGTTATATTATGTTTCCCAAATATGTCTGATCAGGAAAATCATCTGTTGCTTGTTAAAAATTCAGGCTCCTAAGCCTGAATCAGAATTTCAGGAGGTAAGATCTATTTTCTGACCAACAGTCTGGGCTTTCTTGCGATCAGGCATATGTAAGAAACACTGAATTATGTGACCTATTCTCCGGAAGATTAGCTTTCTGATTATATTTTTTGGAGCTCTTAATAGCCTCCCTTTTGGTTTTCTTGAACATACAGTGCCCTGAGAGCATGAGAGAAGCAGTTCAGGATTCTGAGTTTAGTATTACTGAAAATCGGAAATGGGGATAACTAAGTACTGTAAAATAGTGTCTGTCAGGGATTTAACAGTACTTGATTAGTTCTTTCATGCTTTCTATATTCCTTTGAAAATGCCTTAAAGATGGTCAGTAGTATGTCCATTCTACCTGTGGAGAGAGGAGAGATAGATCTAACTAAGGTGGTGAAGTAACAAGCATCTAGGAGTGTTTGAGGAGTGTGTGCTTGGCAAGCATCTGTGGAGGGAAAGGGGTGGGGTTAAACTTGGCATTTGCCATCTCGTATCGAAGAACCTCACGTTTAAAACTTGAATGTGCTTTAACCTCAGAGGTGAAACTTCTAAATAATTACTATTTAGAGAAATGGTGCTCCCTTTTCCTTGTAGTTAAACACTTCATGGGCCATCTTTTCTGAACTTCGCAGAAGAAACCTGGTTTTTAATTTTTTTTTGTTTGTTTTGAGAGTGACAGAGACAGCGTGAGTGGGGGGGAGGGGCAGAGAGAAAGGGAGAGATCGAGAATCCCAAGCAGCATGGAGCTCGATGCAGGGATCGAACTCACGAAACTGTGAGATCATGACCTGAGCTGAAACCAAGAATCAGATGCTTAACTGACTGATCCACCCAGGGATCCCAGAAACCTGGTTTTTAGAAAGAAACAAAATTGACCTCTAATTTAGGATTAGAGTCCTCCTTTTATCTTGAACATTAAGACAAAAAGGTAATACGTAAGAAACAGTCTTAGAAACCACTGAATCTGTTATTTGTGTAAAACCATGATTAAATTAAGTAACGTTAGCTAGTTTGGGATCTCAAATTCTTATATTTTATAAATCCTTTTATGGTTTAAAATTTGTTTTTTAATTTTTTTTAATGTTTATTTATTTTTGACAGAAAGACAGAGCATGATCAGGGGAGGAGCAGAGAGAGAGAGAGAGGGAGACACAGAATCCAAAGCAGGCTGTAGGCTCTGAGCTCTCAGCACAGAGCCTGACGCGGGGCTCAAACTCACAGACCGCAAGATCATGACCTGAGCTTAATTCAGACGCTCAACTGACTGAGCCACCCAGGCGCCCCTCTTTTTTTTTTTTTTTTTTAATGTTTTTATTAAAAAAATAAAATGTTTTTATTAAAAAAAGACAGAGCATGAGCCAGGGGAGGGATAGAGAGAGAGGGAGACAGAATCTGAAGCAGGCTCCAGACTCTGAGCTGTCAGCACAGAGCCCGACGCGGGGCTCCAACTCACGGACTGTGAGATCGTGACCTGAGCTGAAGTTGGATGCTTAACCAGCTGAGCCACCCAGTTGCCCCTGGTTTTAAGTTCTTAATTGTTTTTTGTTTTTTTTTTTTACGTTTATTTATTTTTGAGACAGAGAGAGACAGAGCATGAACGGGGGAGGGTCAGAGAGAGAGGGAGACACAGAATCTGAAACAGGCTCCAGGCTCTGAGTTGTCAGCACAGAGCCTGACGCGGGGCTCGAACTCACTACCCCAGATCATTACCTGAGCCGAAGTCCCACACTTAACCAACTGAGCCACCCAGGCGCCCCTTAATTGTTTTTAATGGATAGATAAAAAGGGAGCCTTTTCCTCTTAGAATTAAAACCTGACCTTTCTATGCAATAATTTAAATACTACCCAATTAGGACTTTCTCCAGGATGAGTGTATCATTCTTAAATGTCAGATGCAGGAGGAAACTTAGATCCCTAATCTAAGGAGATTTAGATCCCTAATTCAAGATTATAGTGATAGGTGAATAAGATACGGTATCTGCTCTCAAGGAATTTATGGTTTAATTGGGAAGGACTTAACTAAAGCCCGTGAAGCAGTTTGGGAACAGAATGAGACACATGACTGTGGTACAGCAGTGCAACAGGAGTTCAAAGAAGGAAGGAGAGAATTGGAGCACTTGCAAGAAACCTTCGTTGGCAAAAGAGAAGACTCGATTTGGGCTTCTAAGTCCAGAAGTAAGCTTTCTACACAAGTGAAGAATAAGTATGAAAGAAAAGGCTCTTAGCCTAGAATTAAGGAAGGTGTGGTGTTAAGATTGACCCATTAGAGCCCAGGGAAGAAAAGTGGCAGAAGAGAAGGGAATCATATTTATGGAATGTTTCTGTGGTGAGAGGAAACCGATTTTGTTAGTAGTGCTGATTGTGAAGTCAGAAAAACAATAGTTCTGTTATAGTCTTTTCTAAAATCTCTGTGTGTGTGTGTATGTATATACATTTATTCTGTTTTTTAGAAATTTTTGAGCCATAAGGTGACTGCAGATAAAACCTAAAATTTTTGATGAACGGTATACTTTCCACCGCAGATTAAGACATGTGGAAGAAAATAAATGATGCTTGTGCTAGCCTTAGAGGGTCATCTAAAGGTTGTGGGCCAGTTGTCCAAGCACCGCTTACAGCTGGATGGTGTCAGAGGGAGGAGGGTATGAGGTTAGGGTTCCATAGTCCTCTTGCCTGGGCTCATAGTACCTGTGATACAATTTCAGGTAACAAAAAAAAAAAAAAAAAAGTATCATATGTGGCATTAACCATACTAAAAAGATTTTTTTTTTAAGTCATGGGTATATTGTAGTTTGGTATATACATACATTGTCTTAGATTTCTGGTGAGGTTTTATATTCTGTTGTATTCAGAACATAGGGAAATTCTTCCATGAGGCGCCAAATAAATTACACTTTGATAAATCGCTTAGGAGAATAGCCATTTGGAAGAACAATGGAGAAGTTTTGGCAAAACAGCATATCTGGGATGTTGGTTGTATCTTTATTTGGTCATATTAGAGCACAGACTCTCTGGAACTGTGATAACTGTTTTAGATGTGCATATCTGAGTCTGTATTCTGGCTAGAGCTGGGCTGGCACAACCAGGTTCTAGGAAGATCACCGACAGGTTGAGTCATGTCCACTCTGAACAATCCTTCACATGCCCCAGGTTCTCTGACAATCTTGAGAATTTTTCCTCAGTTGGAAAGGAACAGTTTTGGAAACTGCCTTAGCTGTTTGAAATTCACAAAATGGAAAATAATGAGCTGGCTTCTGTAAAATGCACTGGTTTGTGCTCTTTACAAGTACTTTATGTCACAGGTGCATACCATGTTAAACTTGGAAAGGAATTCCAGGTTCCTGAAAGGGAGTGAAAGTGGTAGAGGTAGTGTGAATAACAGCATTTCACTCTGGAAATCCACTATTAATAATGAAATATTTGTCTTCGATGATACGCAGTTTGCGCAGTGGTCATGTTATTTATTTATTTACTTATTTAATGTTTATTTTTGAGAGAGATAGAATGCAACCAGGGGAGGGGCAGAGAGAGAGAGAGAGAGAGAGAGAGAGAATCTGAAACAGGCTCCAGACTCCAAGCTGTCAGCACAGAGCCTGATGGGGGGCTTGAACTCATGAGCTATGAGATAGATCATGACCTGAACTGAAGTTGGATTCTTAACCGACTGAGCCACCCAGCTGCCCCATGGTTTTTATTTAATAGCTACTAATACTGTTTATTATGGGTAACTTTTCAGAGTCTCTTCAGCTGGCTAAATGAAGTCCTCTAAGTTTTTGGATTTGAATAATTTCATTCTTTAGTGTTTACTCTACCCCATCAGCAAGAAGTGTTAACTAGATAGCAGTGGAAGGACTCTGTTTACTTATTTAACAAAGGCTTGTATAATGTGTCAGGTATTTTTCTAAATGCTTTACAAATAAATAGTCACTTATTTAAACCTCTTAGCAACCTTATGAGGTAAGTTTTATTATATCTCCCATTTTATAGATGAGGAAACTGAGGCTCTGTTTAGTTTGTAAGTTGTCTAAGATTATTCAGATAATAGACATTGGAGCTGGGATTCAAATCCAGGCAATCTGGCTCTGGAGTTTGTGTGCTTAAAATACTGTGCTCTGTTAGCGCACATAGATTTAATCATGACCATTAGGTCAGTGTTTGTGATAACTGCACATCAGTAGCTCTTTAGCCCATTTATCTTGCTTTGTGCTGACAGCTCTGCTGAATTCTTGAAATGTGTGGTTTACGATGTCACTATGTTTTATTACATGAATCATAAATAAAAAATACAATTTAAATATACATAAATATCTAGTGAAATGTGTATATTTCAATGGCTTGATTGAAAAGTTCTCAGTGGCAAGAACTAGGTCTTCTTGACTGATGTCCTTTGATTCTGGTAATGCCTTTACCAAAAACCCATCCTTTCACTGTGCCTGTGGAGTCGGAATGGAACCTGGAGATGGACTGTTCTACACCTTCACTTTCTCAGTAAGGAAGGGGAGGCCCAGAGAGGTCAGTGTCCAAGCCCTCAACAGCTAGTTTTGAAGCAGAGATGGGAATTAAACCACCAAGTTCAATTTAGTGGTATTTTCCTTCCATTACAGTAATTGAAAAGTTTGTGCTGTGGGAGTTCAGATTACATATCTAACATTTTTAAATAGTTTAGATCCATCTGTAAAGCATGTATTACTTTTGTTAATATAGGTTATTTCTCAGCTCCTCAAACCTCACTCATCATTTCTTTGTTTCTGACATTTGTTAGGTCTTTCATTGTGCCTGACCAACACATACAGTTCTACTTAAAAATCCTGCCGAGTTTTCAGACGCCTGCATCTATTTACATAATTATACATATGCATAAGTAATATATTAACTTAATACTGACTTGATTCAAATGACCACATAAATGGTTTACAGACAGGCGGTTATCAAATTGAACAAATAGCGTCTCGCTGGAAAGGTAGTTCCTGTAGTAGGCTGTGGAATTATTAGTTGTGGCCTAAATACATTGAAGGTATTCTGGATTTGGAAATTCCTGTGATTGGAAAAGCTATGATAATCTAAATTTAAAAGTGGAAGCTTACTCTTACTGGAAGAACACATTATAAGCACTGCGCTTTGCAGTGTTTGAAGAAAGTAACTAGTTTATGAATTACAGGAAGTAGCCAACTTAAAGTAGGTTGTATTCCAAATATTCGTCTTTTAGTCATGTGGTGTTTTAAATGCAACACCTACTTTAAGAGTGGCATTTTTTTATATACATATTCTAAATATGTACATTTAGAATATATATATAGTCTTGCCACTTAAAAAATCAATGAAGAAAAGACCAGTCTTCTGATAGAGCTTGGAAATGCAAAGGAATTTATAACTATAGTTTCACATCCTAGTTTTACCAGCTGATATAAATGTCTTGATTAATGTTTATGTACTTATTTGTCAGGTTTGTCAGGCTTTTTTTTTTTTTAAATGTTTATTTTTGAGAGCGAGTGCAGGCGGGGACGGGGCAGAGAGAGAGGGACAGAGGATTTGAAGCAGGCTCAGCACTGAGAGCAGTGAGCCAGATATGGGGCTCAAACTCCTGAACTGTGAGATCATGACCTGAACCAAAGTCGGACACTCAACAGACTAGGCCACCCAGGTGCCCCGTTTGTGTTAGTTTTTTTAAGTATATAGTGTAAACTTTTAGATGATTGAAAGTTCATATACTATAAGAAGTAATACAGAGAGATCCTGTGTGCCTTTTCCCTAATGATAACATCTTGTAAAACATCTTGTAGCACAATATCCCAATCAGGAAATTCACATTGATAGAATCCACTCATTTTCTTAAGATTTCCCCAGTTTTGTGTGTGTGGTGTCCTATGTAATTTTATCACATGTGCAAGTGTGTGTATCCACCACCACCGTATTTAAGATTATATAGATTAGCCCCGTTACCACAGGGAATCCTTGTCATTGCCTTCATAAAACTGTGTGTCCCCCTCCACCTCTTAATCCTCCTTTGTCCTTAACTCTTGCAAACTCATTTGCTTTTCATCTCTGTAATTTCATCATTTCAAGAATGTCCTACAAAAAGAATCAGGCAGTATGTAACCTTTAGGAATTGTTTTACTTTTTACTCAGCATAATTCCCTTGACATTTATCTATTTTTTTCGTATTAATAGTTTATTGCTTTTTATTGCTGAGTGATATTCCATGGCAGAGGTATACCCGTTTGTTTAACCATTCACCCTTCAAAGGAGATCTGGCTTATTTGTTTGGTAATTATGAATCAAAGGTTTCCGAATATTTGTGTACGGGTTTTTGTGTGAACATAAATCTTCATTTCTCTCGGATAAAAAGACTCAAGAGTGCAATTGCTAGGTTGTATAGTAATTGCTTTTTTTTTTTTTTTTTTTTTTTTTGTAAGTTTATTTCTGAGAGAGAGTGTGCAAGTGCACTTGCAGGGGAGGAGCAGAGAGAGAGAGAGAGAATATCCCAAGGAGGCTCTCTGCTGACAGCATAGAGCCCAGCTTGGGGCTTGAACTCAAAAACTGTGAGATCATGACCTAGCTGAAATAAGAGACGCTAACTGACTGGGCCACCCAGGCACACACCGGTAATTGCATTTTTTGATAAGAAACTGCCAAACTGTTTGCTAGACTGTGATTGTACCTTTTTATATTCCTGCCAGCAGTGTATCTAAGATGTAGGGTTTTTTCACATCCTTTCCAACGTTGGTATTCTCTTTATTTTTGTATCCGATGAGAGGATTCAATCCAGGATGAATGTTAAGCAAGTGGATGATTTAATGAATTTTGGATACTAATCGAATGTATAATGTAGCTAAAATATTGTATACAATAAAAAGTAGTGATTAAACAAATCAGAAATGTTCTCAAATTGAGTAAAGTATACTTTTCATGTGCCTTGAATGATGCTACTTAATTCATACTTTCAGTTTCCCGTAAAAGTAGGTAGGAAGAGGGCAGATGTTGTTATGTCCAAATTAAAGATTTTAGAGATTGATAATTTGCCTAATATCACTTCAAAATTTGTTTTCTCCTTGATAGGAATACTTAAACCATTAACCTTGATACTTCTTAAAATCTTTAATAGAACGAAAAGAGATTTCTCCTTCCTTCTTTGTTTAACACTTGTCACATGAGGAAGTAGGAGTTGAGGATGCATGACC